CGCTTACACCGAAATTCCATCTCTCTCTCATATTCCACAAGGGCGATGCCCACTAAGAATTTATCTCTCTTTTAAGTAAAATACTCTCTCTCTCTCTCTCTCTCTCTCTCTCTCTCAAGAGACCCAAGGGTTACGCCCCACTCTCTCATCTTTCATATCTCTCTCATGGTGGTTCTCTCAACTCTCTCATGATCGCTCATCTCTCTTTGGGGTTTTAGACTATAAGGTTGTGGTAGAAAAGAGAAGTATTTTTCTCAAACTAGGTTGCCAAGTGGATTCACTTAAAGGTTTGATATTTGTGATAAAGAAGTTCATAGTTCCATCAGAGGGCTCGACCTAAACTTGCTTTCTCGATTGAGATTGAATATTGATTATTAATTTCATGTCATCAAATGGTGGTGACTCGGTATGGGGTGTAACAAGCCTGGTTGAGGTAATCTTCGGCGCTCTCTTTTTATTTCTTTGTCATATTTAATTATATTATCTTTATATTCTCAAGCATAAGAATTGTGGATATTTTCTTTATTTAAAGAAAATTGATTTAATAACATCAAGGTTTTAAATAACTATATGGAATGTTGTCGAAAGGTCTTTGAACCATATCGAATTAAGAGGGAGAGATGAGGATGAGAGAAAGTGAGGAAGAGAGAATGTAAGGCATTCAAAGGCCAAGTGGGAGATGTTAGATAAGTGTGGCCATTAAAGGCCTTATGAGTGCTTATAAAATGAAATGATGTAGTGGAACATCAACATTGTGAGAGTGTGGTCCATCGTGGACCATACTAAGAAAACGATGTTTGCTGATATCGGGTTGAGCTTGATGAGCTAGGCCAGTGAGATGGGAAAAAACTATGTTACCTGGGTATAGAAAACTATCCGATAAGGGTTCTAATAGGTCATCCCTTGATGAGGTCGGCATATGCCTGGATGAGTGAGCTGAGGAACTATGTGACCCTTTAGTGTGATGGTGGCCTTCAGAGACGAGGGCCAAAGCCTCATCCGCGAACCATCACATGGCATACATAATGATAGTCATTTCGGGAAAGCGAATCACCTTTTAGGGTGAAGCTTATACATGTGTGAGAGATACCCCTATGCGTCATTGGAGCTGTGGTTGCATCAGGTCTCAGTGGCCTTGGTACGTCTCTAAGGGAGAATCTGAAATCCACAAATTGGGATTACGACCCCTTGGCTCATTGGTCAAACTTTGGTAACCACTAATTAGCCCCTACATGGACTGTGGGTCATAGGGACACTGAGTCAGTTTCATAAAGTAAGTATGGATCGTAGTCCACAGTAGAAGGTGGAGTACCCCAGTGTTTATTTATTTAATTCCCAAACCATATGGATTTTTTTCTCATCTAATGAATTTATTATGTTTGTTTTAATGATATGATTTTTAGAATTATTATTTGAATTTTTCTATATCTCTGGATATTTTATTTATCAAATTGGGATTCATAAAAACAAAGATATTCATTTTAGATTGATTTAAATATTCAAATTTGATGTTATGGATTTCTAAAAATCATATAATTAATTTTAATAATTTTAATATTGCATGGGAGACCCAATATGTTAATGGGCTCACCACTGCATATGAGTGGGGCCCATGAAGTACTACCTAGGGTAGCACACCCCACCCTAATGAAACTTTCATTGTGTTAGTTCAAGCTTTAGCTTGAATAGAAAGCTTTGAAGTGTTTTGGAAAGATTTTTCCTTGAGGAAGCTTTCAAAGGATTTTTGGAAAGTATCAGAAAGCTTGTACATAATTTTGATACGCACTATATTATGAATGAAATTACTTTAATTAATTTTTATTGCTATGAAAATGGTTTAGGAATGGGGGATAAAGGTTCTAGCACATTCCATAATGTTGATGGCCTATCTATGGAATGGATAGCTCAAATCTCTCACCCCACAAGTCACCCAAGATCAACGGTTCATATTTAATATCACAAGAAAAAGCAAGCTAAAAAATCCCTAAGAAACCATAATATTGTTCAAAGTCTATAAAAAGGAATTGTCTCTACCCAAAATCTCTACACATTATCTCTTACACCTAATTCACATCTCTCTCATATAGCCCACAAAGGGGCACGCCCCACTTAAAATTTCTTTCTCTCTCTCTTAAGAAAGTTTCTCTCTCTCTCTCTTTCAAGAGACCCAAAGGGGTATGCCCCACTCTTTCATCTTTCATATCTCTCTCATGGTGGTATACTCAAATCTTTCATAATCTCTTATCTCTCATTGGGGTTTTAAACTATAGGGTTGTTGTAGAAAAGAGAAGTATTTTTCTCAAACTAGGTTGCTCAGGAGATTCATCTAAAGGTTTGAGATTTGTGATAAAGGAGTTCATGGTTCCATTAGAGGGTTTGGCCTAAATTTGCTTTTCCGATTGAGATTGAAGGTTGATTGTTGCTCCCACACCATCAGATGGTAGTGACTCGATGTGGAGTGTAATAAGTCTGGTTGAGGTAATCTCCAGCACTCATTTTTTGTTTCTTGTCATATTTAATTATATTGTCTTTATATTCTCAAGCATAAGAATTGCGGATATTTTCTTTGTTTAAAGAAAATAGGTTTTCTGGCATCAAGGTTTTCAAGATCTTGGAATTGTTAGTTTTATTTCCTTTGAAGCAAGAGTTATTGTAATAAGACTACTTGTAAGTGATCTTTGCCAAAGGAAAAGAAAAAAAAAAAAAGGTGAAAAGAAGAAAAATAAAAAATATATTCCCCGCCAAGATCGTATTAGTCTCTTTCATTTTTGGGCAAAAATCATGCCTGTTAAGGCTTCGAGCCAGGACCGGGCTGGGCCACAAGAGAAATCCAATCTCACTCTCTCTAAAAACCCATTCTCTTTTTTAAAACCTATTCAATTTTTCTAGAAACTCAATCTCTCTCTCTAAAAGCCCAATTTTTCTCTTTCTAAAACCCACTCTCTCTCTAAAAACCCAATCTCTCTTTCTCCCTCTAAAAACCCATTCTCTATCTAGAAATCCAACATCTCTTTCTCTTTCTCAAAATCCATTCTCTTTGTTGAAACCCAATCTCTCTCTCTCAAAACCCATTCTCTATCTAGAACCCAATCTCTCTCTCTATCTCAGAAAACCCATTATGTCTCTCTACAAACTCTATCTCTCTTTCTCTCTAAAAACCTGTTCTCTCTTTCTAAAATATATAAAATTACATCGAAGTATTAAATTTTTTAAAACATATTTTAGCACATGCCTATGTTTTGGTCTTCCTACAATCGAAATAAGTTTGAAGAGTGAGTTAACAAAATAAAACAAAATAAAAAGGGGGGGGAGGAGGGGCTTCTTAATGGGCAGGCCCTTGCCAAGGCGTAGCCCAATAGAGTCTTTTCAGGCTGGGCTTTTCAGATGCAAATTTTAGCTTGGGCCAAAGTAGGTTCAAGCTTTGCCTCGGCCCAGCCCGGTTGCAGCCCTAGCAACAGCCCTGTCCTTGAATGGGTACAATGGCAGGGAACCCATACAGCCACCACATATTCCCTTGAAAGAAAAAGGTTGGTGTCCCTTTTTATTCTCGACTAGTTCGTTTCATGCATAGATTACCACAGTGCATCCACAACATGTGCCTTAAAAGTTTACTGGTGATGTTCATCACTTGTAGCAAATAACTTACATAAAAGTCGCCGGCACTAATGGGAATTGACCAGGAGTGGGCCGATTAATTCCATGAAGAATCAGGAAATATCCATGTCCTCCAGTTCCTTGCTATAATAAACTATACAGCATCACATTATGTATTCCTACCTAAAATAAAATAAAAAATTTAAAAATAAATGAAAAGAAAATAAAAAAGATTGGGAAGAGTAATGGAGAAGATATCCCATGCTTGTGAGCCAAGAAATATCCATCTACTTTCCATCAAATGATTCCATCACACCAATTATATGCGAAGGAACAATAGCAGACAGAGAGCGTCAACATGGATAGCAACGATCAACATGAAACCAACCGTGGCCTCCCCACACCACATTCCTTCAAGTGGTGCTCGTGGCCTCTAGAGTTCTTAAGAAAAGGGTGCCGTGATCCTTACATAAGAGCTACAACTCTCGCGGTCATCGCATTGACAGGAGTCCTCATAATTTTGAAGAAAAGGAAGCCAAACAAAGAAAGAGCTTCGAAGACAGTGGGCAAGAAACTCAAATACCAGAGGAGTCTTTCCATGGCATCGCTTCACGGAGGGAGGTTCGCGCTTCAGAGGTTGGTCATGGCGCACCACGCAAAATTTAATCCGAATGTCCTCGCTGCGGCCACAGAACAATTCATGGAGTTGTTAAAGGAGGACCTCCCCAACATTACGGAGTTACAGGTCCGCCTTTTTGCCTACCTCCCCCACATTTGAATGATGTTATTGTTAGACCAAACCTGATTTCCACTATCTCAATTTTCAACGTGCTAAAAACTGTTTTCTACCGTTTTATTACAACCACGCTTTGCCAAATGAATTATATCATATATAACATCATTCATTTTCATGTGTTATGGAAAATAGTCATAGTTGATTCTTTTTTTTCTTTTGTAACTCAAATTGAAACTTTCTTAGCAACAGTGCTTCAGATACTGCAGTAGTGGCTGAAATTATTCCGATTTTAGCCAAAGCGAGTGCCGGAAATATTTTTTTTTCCCTAAATGACCACGGCATCACCTTCGTGGGCGGTCATTTCATGCAATGATTGTATCATATTATAATTCAACCACATTTCTAGAAAACCATATTTGTGGTATTTGTGGGACTCAACATTTTCCATACACATTCTCTTTATCTCAATAATCAATCTCAAAAAAGTAAAAGTTCCACCTGAACCCTAAATATTGTCAAAATGAGTCCTCTCCAACAACGAATCTGAATTTCAAGATCTTAGCCTTTACAAACTCAAAATCATTTTTTTCTTTTTCCACATTGTTCATCTAACGATAATATAGCCATCTAAAAAAATTGGAAAATAAAATTTCTTCCTAAGGTCTAGATCTAAGCATCTCACCAAAATGGACGGTCTATGTTAATTGGGTTAAAAAAATACTTCCTAAGTCGTGTTTTCAAATTTCTCATTTATGTGATTGTTCATTAGAATGTAAAGAGTGTATATTTCAAAATTTTGATCAAACAAATGGTCCTAACATGGTTTTTGAAAGTTGTTGCATCATATTACTATACAATCATTGCATGAAATTACTACCCCACCTTTGTACCTATGCAAAATGAAAGAAATCTAACCTTGCCAGGGTATGTATATATTTTTTTTATTCCTTTTTATTTTGACAAAAATCACTTAAAAGTAGTCTTATTACAATAACTCATGCTTCAAAGAAAAATAAAACCGAGACCTTTTAAAACCTTGATGCCACAAAACCAATTTTCTTTAAACAAAGAAAATAACCACAACTTCATATCCTTGAAAATATAAAGTCAATATCAATAAATATGCAAGAAACAAAAGATATGCCGGAGATTGCCTCAACCGGGTTTATTACACTCCACGTCGAGTCACCATCATCCGATAGTGCGGAATCAACGATCAAACTTCAATCTAAACCAAGAAAGCAAGCTTAGGCTAAGCCCTTCAATGATACTATGAATTCCTCTTGATCACAAAAGCTTTAGACCTAGGTTCAAAAAAACTTCAAGACCTAGTCTTAGATATCTTTCCCTAAATAGAACCCAACTCTTAGGTTTTATCAAAACAAGATGAGAGAGATAAAAACCTATCTAGATGGGGTGTGCCTCATAGGTCAACCTAGAGAGAGAGAGAACTCAAGAGGTGGGGCGTGTCCCTTTAGAATAGGCTAGAGAGAGAGAAAGAGTAATTTTAGGGTTGGGCCCTATAGCTTCTAAGAGAGAGAGAGATAGTAATTCTAGAGAGAGAAAGGGAAGCGAAGGTTTGGTATAAAGATTTCATGGGGAGAGGTCCTCTATTTATAAAGCAATAATAGCAATAGGGTTTCTTAGGGTTTTCCATAGTTTGTCTCTTCCTGTGAGATTGAACATAAACCACTGATATTGGGTGACTTGTGGGTGAGAGATTTGAGCCTTACATTCCATAGATGGGCCATCAACATTATGGAAGGTGTTAGAACTCTTATCCCCCTTTCCTAAACCATTTTCCCATCAATAAAAATAAATACAATAATTCCAAACATAATATTGTGCACACCATAATATTGCACATGCCTTCTCGAGTTTTCAAAAAATCCATTCAAAGCTTCATCATGCCAATTCCTTTCCAAAACACAACACTTTGACCATAAGTCAAAGTCTCCATTTAACCAAATAGAAATGCTCCCTAAATGGGTGGGGCGTGCCACTCATGAGAGAGTCTCATGAGCCCTACCATCTAAGCCACCATATAATTTTAACTATTTTAAAATTCAATAAATTAATTTTAGAATTTATTTGAATATTTAAATCAATGTAAAATTAATATCTCTATTTTTATAAATCTAAAATTTATAAATAAAATATCCAGAGATTTATAAAAATTTAAATAATAAGTCTAAAATAATATATGCCATAAATTAATCATAATTAAATTCATTAGATGAGAAAATGATCCATATGGTCTAGAAATTAAATCAATAAACATTGGGACACTCCATCTTCAATTGTAGACTACAAACCACACTTGCTTTATCAAGCCGACCCAGTGTTTCTCATGACTAACAGTCCATATCGGGGCTCATTAGTGGGTCACTAAAGTCTGGCCGATGAGCCAAGGGGTCATAATCCCAGTCAGTAAATTACAGGTTCTCCCCTAGAGACGTTTCAAGGTCACCTAAACCTAATACAACCACAGCTCCTATGGTGCACAGGGTATCTCTTGCACATGCATAAGCTTCACCTTAAGAAGTGGTTCGCTTTTCCGCAACAGCTCTCATTATGAATACCGTGTGATGGTACATGGATGAGGATTTTGCCCCCATCTCTGAAGGCCACCCTCACAGATAAAGGTCACACAGACCCTCGACTCACTATCTGGGCATACTCTGACCTCATTAAGGGATGACCAATTAAAAATCTTATCACATAGTTTTCTATGCCCAGGAACATAGGTTTTTTCCAATCAGCTGGCCTAGCTCGTTAAGCTCAATCATGTATCAGCAAATATTATTTGCTTAGTCTACGAGGGGCGACACTCCCACTGAGTTTATGTTTCATTATATAAAAAATATTTTATTACAAGCATTCATAAGGCTTTTAATAAGCACACTCACCCAACATCTCCCATTTGACCTTTGAAGGCCTTTACATTATCTCTTCCTCACTTTCTCTCATCCTCATCTCTCTTATATGTCTTACAAAAACAGTAGGGGCAATCCCCTTAGTCAGAGGATCTGCAATCATTAGATGTATAGATATATAACCAATCTCAATCTCTTGCAATCTTACCTCATTCCCTAGGTGATAAAAGTATGGTTTTATGTGCTTGGATTTCTTATGAAAATGTGGTTGCTTTGATACGCAAATTGTCATCGTGTTGTCACAAAAAATCCTTACTACTTCACAACGCATGGGGTAAAAGTTTTGTTGATTAAGAAATTTCTTAATCCATACAGCCTCTTTGGCCGCCAAACAACTTGCCACTTATTCCTTCTCCATGGTGGACAGAGCTACCACATCGTGTTTCTTTGATTTCTAAGAAACTGTACCCCCTCCAAGCATAAACACATATCCAGATATAGATTTCGCATCATTTGGATCCACGAGATAGCTTGCAGCAGAATATCCATCGATAGCTATTTCAGTTCCTCCTTTGTATGTAAACGCATAGTTCATGGTCCCTTTTAAGTATCTAAGGATTATCTTAACTGTCCTCCAATGCTTCTCTCCAGGATTGCTTAGAATCAGCTAATCAGGCTCATGATGAAAGACAAGTCTGGCCTTGTTTTCATCATAGCGTACATAAGGGACCCAACTGCATTCCTATAAGGTACTCTCTCCATGGCTCTTATATTAATATCTTCAGTAGAATACATCTTATTACTAAGCTTCGTCTTTTGTCTATTGGAGTAGCCATGAGCTTACACTTTTTCATATCAAACTTTTCCAATATCCTCTTGTAATAGGTTGCTTAGGAAAGTTGGATTGTTCTCTCTTTTATGTTTCTTATTATCTTGATACCCAACCTATATAAAACTTCTCCAAGATCCTTCATATCGAAGTATTGTACTAGAAACGTTTTTATCACTACTACTACAGCAATCGAGCTACTAACAATTAGCTTATCATCCACATACAATGAAATAAAAACCACATCATTCACATTGATCTTTTGATAGAGGCAATAATCCTCATTATTTATAGAGAACCCGACAATGGCAAGGGTCTCTTGAAATTTTATGTACTACTGATGCGATGTTTGTTTTAGGTCATAAAAGGATTTATTAAGCTAACACACTACGTTTCCCTTTCCTTTTTTCTCAAATCCCTCGGGTTGACTCATGTAGATTTCTTCTTCTAAATCTCCATTTTGATATCCATCTGATGTACCTCAAAATCAAAATGGGTTGCTATGGCTATAACGATTCAGATAGTTAGGAATTTAGCAACATGGAAAAGGTCTCATCATAATCTATTCCTTCTTTTTGGGTAAATCCCTTTGCAACTTGCCTAGCTTTGTATTTTGTTATTTTCCCTTCTGAGTTTAATTTTTTCTTGAAAATCCACTTACAACTTATAACTTTACATTTTTGAGGTAGTGGTACTAATTCCCAAACATGGTTTTGATTAATAGAAGCAAATTCGTCTTTCATGGCTTCTACCCAATATTCTTTTTCAGGACAAGACAAGGCTTCATGATAAGGTTTAGGTTCAGAATCTGAATCTTCCACAACTTTATCATAATGTTCTACCAGGTAGATAAAGTGTTCTAAGTATAGAGGTGGTTTAATAAATCAGTTGCCTCGTCTTGGTTGTGAGAGTTCGGGTTCTAGTACATTTTGATTTGTGAGTTCGAGTTCAAGCTCAAGTTTATCAAAAGTTTCAGGTTCGGGTTCTTAAAGCCCATCTTTATTTTTTGCCTCCTCAAAAAAGTTGGCTTGTTTATGACTCAATCTTACTTCAAAGGGTTCTTCCTCGAAGAAGTGAGCATCGCAGCTTTCAATAACCGCTTTGGTTTCAAGGTTGTAGAATCGATACCCCTTACCATGGTCTGGTTAGCGAATGAAAATGATTTTCATAGTTTTGGGTTGAAGTGTGGTCTTATTTTTGTGCGGCATAAGGAAATGGATTGAGCAACCCCAAACTTTTAGATAATCAGGGGAGAGAGCACGACCGGTGACTATTTCATGAGGAGTAAATGGAGAAGCTTTTGT